GAAACGAGATTGACTATAAAACTATAAAATAGAAACTAAGAAGCTGGTGTCTGAGCGGGAATGGGTTAGGCTCTTTGCCATTGCACGCAACAGATACGAGTTCGATTCATCATGGGGAGGTTTAATTATTTATCGAATATCGCCTATCTACTGGGGTGCGATATCCCTCTCAGCCCCGTTTGATTCCAACAGGCAGTGGCAGGGCAAATGGCTTCCTATATGATCTAATTTGAGTCGGAATTGCGGAATTGTTTGGCATTATTATTATTTTCAACTCTGTAAGATTAAGAGGCAGGACCCCCTCATTTACTGTCCATTTCCAACAGGACCGAGCCATATGTCTGGACAGCTTTAAAAACTCCTCAAAACGACACAAGTTCAGAAACCCACGTTATCAATTCAAACCAGAGCCATCCGCTAGGCAGTCCTGTATGATACCAGCTGATCTAACGGCGCCCCCCCCCCAAATTGAATCAACAGGGCCGTAACACAAACAATCATTACAAAACAGAAATAGAAACAACCAGCTCCAGTTTCACGCGATTAGGAGAAAGTGTCGAATCAATTAACGTTTTGAAAAGCAAGTATCTACTCAGTAGGTGCCTTGGCCACGTATGTGGTGTAGTAAAAGCATACTTAAAACAAAGCTGCCGAAGTGCTAACCTTCCTCCAGTTATTCGGCACTCGGGCATCGAACATGTTGTCCAGCGCGTCCCTGAGGTTCTCTGACATGATGATGGTGCCGTCAATGGCCAGCTTGAGGTCCATGAGCGTGGTTCGCACGAGGCTGATGACCCGCTGCATGCGGTCGATCTCCTGACGCAGGAAGATGTTCAACGGGTGCAGGGAGCCCATCTTGCGAAGACGTTCTTTGACCTGGAGAAATTTTTTAGTTTAGTTTTAGCAAGAGTTTTATGGCACTACTTGCAACACCATAAGGTCATATGTGAGCCGAAGAGTGGACAGTTTAGTTTTATTAAGTTTTACGGCACTTCCACCGAATTAAAACATACAAAAAATAAATAAATAAAACAAAACAAAACAAAACAAAATATAACAAAACAAGCAGCGATACAGTGGCCCTGCTCATCCTGGTTCTTGGTAAATGTCACCCTCTTGGATTCAAGGAAGCAAAAAAATAAACAAACAATCATGCAAGATGTATGTTCCAGGTCAATGCACACCAAGAAGAATGTAGATATCTTGGATATAAAGAAACGGCAAAATGAATTATTTAACAAACAAGAAACCATAGCTCAGCCCGTCTATTGAATAAGATACATGTAGCTATCCAGTAATACTTTAACAAACAATTGGTCAAGAAACACCACAAAATACTAAAGAAAACCTGTAAAACGTAAACTCCGACAAAAATGGAAATGGGCTAGCCACGTTGGCAAAGTGAAAGACAACAGATGGATCAATAGATGCACTGAATGGAGACCAAGAACAGGAAAAAGATCAAGAGGAACACCAGAAAGAATGTGGCAAGATGACATAAGAGAGCAGACGGGCACAACCTGGACACGGAAAACAGTTGATAATACAGAGTGGATGTCGTTGTTGGAAGGCTACATCCAACAGTAGACGGACTACGCCATGAAAGAAAGAAAGAAGAAAGAAAGAAAGAAAGGAAGGAAGGAAGGAAGGAAGGTAGGAAGGAAGGAAGGAGGAAAGAAAGAAAGAAAAGAAAAAAGAAACAAAGAAAAAAGAAAGAGAAAAGAAAAAAAGAAAACAGCAACTTCTCCTCAGCTCTGACCTCATAGGGAATGTAGTCTTCCGGAAGTTTCTCCAGCATGTCGTCTGCTAGTCTGTAGACGACCGCCTCACGGGTCTCTCCTCCTCCACTTCCGGCGTCCTTGGGCTGAATACTCACGATAGTGGACAGCATGTTATTTGCCGTATTGGTCTGATATCTGGGGAGGAAGACAACGCATTATCAGAATAAAAATCGCATGAAATATTTTCGATGCGAGCGAACAGACAACGAAGAAAGCCTTGAGCAGCAATCTCAAGCCCGCCCCTCCTTCTCTCTGTCTCTGTCTGTCTCTGTCTGTCTCTGTCTGTCTCTGTCTGTCTGTCTGTCTGTCTGTCTGTCTGTCTGTCTGTCTGTCTGTCTCTGTCTCTCCCTCTGTCTCTCTCTTTCTCTCTGTCTCTGTCTCTCTTTCTCTCTCTTTCTCTCTCTCTATCTCTATCTCTTCCCCCCTCTCCCCCTCCCCCCTCTCTCTCTCTCTCCCTCTCACACACAAACACACATACACAGACACACATACACACACACACAGACACACAGACACACATACACACACACGCGCGCGCGCACACACCCCCCCCCTCCCTTCCCTCCATCCCCTTCCCCAAACCTTTAACACACAAAAACACAAAAAACCTACGTGATGTCTGCGTTGGGGTGCAGACCGAAGCACTCCGGTGAGTCCACCAAAGGAAGAGACTCGATGTACGACCGGTACTCGTCAACTGTCTTACACTTCGGGATCTTGTAGCCTGGTGTGCGCCAGAGAGAAAAAATTATAATAAGACAGTGAACACCTTGATTATGATTCAGATAGCTTCGAGCTTTTTTATTTATCTGCTTTTGTATCTATTTGTATTGCTTTTTTTCTTCGCTTGGATGATTCTTTAATCTAAGTGACCATCTTCTTCTTCTTCTTCTTCTTCTTCTTCTTCTTCTTCTTCTTCTTCTTCTTCTTCTTCTTCTTCTTCTTCTTCTTCTTCTTCTTCTATACCATGTTTGTCTGATAAGTGTATGTATTGTCATGTCTACAATGTATGCATTTTTTTAAAAAATGTTTTCCACCTATGTAAAGAAAAAAATATAACAAAAAAACAAACAAAACAAAATAAAACGGGAAAATAAAAAGCAAAAAAAACCACAAAAAAACTGACCGGTGTAGAAGGCGAAGCTGTCTGAGAACATGACGTCACTGAACCAGACCCGTGTGTAGGTGTTGAGAAGGCGTTTGTCGTAGTCGTCTGTGACACGGCCGCCGTACTGCACCTCGCCGATCATGTAGCGAACGGTCACCCAGTTCACACCCTGGACGACAACACAGGAAAGAAAATGTTGTGATAAGAGAATGGGGGGGGGGGGGGGGGTTGTTTTGTTTTGGATGTTGTTGTTTTTTTTGTAAAGTAGAGGTTTTTACACCACGTCGAAACAATCAAGATCATTTAAGGGGGGGGGGGGGGGGGGGGCTACACCTGGAGGCTATCTCGCTTATTACTGGACCGAATTTTACCAGCTTTCACACATATAACAAGCATAGTAAGGAGTTTTAAAATCTGCAATCAAATTTGAGAAAAAAGTTTCTCTTCCATGGATTTTATTGACATGTCTTACGTAATGAATACTGCATTTATCGCTCATGGAAATTGATTGTTTTTGTGCATGCGTCTTCACAAACATTAGATCTAAAAATGTGTCTGTTGTTTTTTTCCTAAACGAATTAGAAAATTTTTAATGATTTTTTTTCTGAGGTAGCATTCAAGTTTGCGCAAAATCCGTGAAAATCCACACTCCAGACACCACCAACAAAAATCTATTCCATATATCAAAAATTCAACAGACAAATTTTTAGCATTACCTCTTCTCTTCACTCTGTGAAAATTTCATGAAGATTGGATGAAAAATAGTGGAGTTATTCAAAAAAGTATAGAGAAAAGTCGCGCTTTGAGAAAACGGCCGATAAAGAAAATTAAAATACTGACTTTATGAGGAAATGGCGATTACAAACATGCCCGGTATGGGAAAAAATACGGTTTTGTGGGGTTCTTATGCGATGAAATAGTTGTAGGAGAGGCTGAGGAAGCTAAAAATGCCTACAACTCAAATTCCATGATTTTGAGCCGAATTTTGACTTTGGGGGTGTAGCCCCCCCCCCCCCCCTTAAGAGGCAGGCCTTGACCCCCGCCTGCAAAGCGACACGCTCGGTCTGTAAGGGCCAACCTGAGCCGGGAGGGTATATTTTAATATCCCAGCATAAGAACTGAGATACTCAATAAAAATTATCTCCACTCGGGAATCGAACTCGGATTTCCTACAATGGCGAAGTGCCTAACCACTACACCACAGACGCCGGCCCGAGCACCTACCGAGCAGTCAGGCGACAATGATCAGAAGAGTGATCTCAAAGATGATCAGAAAGTCCTGCAGACAGACGGTGGACAGAAAAGAAGAAGGATGAATAAAGACATGTAAGCAGACGGACAACTCTAACCATTTTGGCTTGGTTCTGTCGGAGATGGACGTCGAATTCAGAAGTCCTGCCTCTTGAATAACTTTACAGTGTCGAAAACATAACTGTGTCACGACATGGGGAAATGGAGCTTTTGGTATCATCTTAAAACTTGTACACTTGCTTTTTCTGATGAAAAGAATACCCATGATTCTTGCTTGGAAATCGAGATATTCGCGACTGAAGGAGGTAGGGGTCTTGTCATCAAAGTTTGGTGAATTCCGAGGCTTGAGTGTCCTTGTAAACTACAATAAATTTACATTTATTGTGCTTATAATCCTTTCATCAATGTTGTTGTATTTTTATTTTTTTTTTTTGTTTCAGTAAAATCTACCCTGAAGTGTGTTTTAAATTGGCATAAAAAGTGTTGAGCTAAAAAGAAAATCTTGATTAAAATTGCCCAACAGGCGAGGAAAAAATGTTGGTTTGTTCGATTTCATTATGTTCAACGAGGTTCTGATTTCACCGCAATTTCACACATTGTTATTAATACTAGCTGGGCCCCCTTTCGATGAAAGGAATGATCAGTGCTTTAATATCAACTAAAAGTCATTGGCCTACTATATTTACACTCTACTGGAATGAGGCAATAAATCTTGAGAGATGCAAAAATTATAAGGTCTAGATCTATACTCTCAAAACAAAATGCGCCCCGCGAAATATAACTTCCGGATTTTCTAAAATTACAGAGACAAAAGCGTCGGCCTACAAAAGCGATCGGCGAAATAAAGAAATGTAGCTTTTTGCAGCAAAACCGTCTCAAAACTGAAAAAACCAAGGGCGTCATGTTCTGGAGAATATTTTAAAGAATCTTTTGGCGAAAACCGCATGTCGATCGATGCAGCCATTAAAAAGCCTTTTGAATAGCAAAATTCGGCCACCACAAATAGATAATAGATACTCACCCTCTTGGGATCCAGGTCATCCAAATGGTTCTGGATGAATTGGATAGTGGCGTTGAGATCACCCTGGTTGAACTCATAGGGGATGTTCCAGCCGATGGGTCCAAACTTCCTCCTCTCTTGCACTGTGGTGTGGAGGAAAGCCACACCATACAACATAGGTTTCCACATGGGCATGTTGCTGTACTCCAGTTGTTCCTGAAGAGAAGGAAACTCATGGTGAGCACATTGAGGGATATAAACCTAGAGGGAGGGAGGGAAGAAGGGAGAGGGAGAGAGAAAGAGAAAAAGAGAGAGAAAGAGAGAGAATGAGTGAGTCAGAGACAGAGACAGACAGACAGACAGACAGACAGACAGACAGACAGACAGACAGACAGACAGACAGACAAATATACAGTTAGACAGAGAAAAAACAGACAGGGAAGTAAGCAGGCAGGCAGGCAGGCAGGCAGGCAGGCAGACAGACAGACAGACAGACAGACAGACAGACAGACAGACAGACAGACAGACAGACAGACAAGCAGTGCAAGAGGACAAAATGGAACTATGATTTAACTAGAATAAGCAATGAGTAACTTCAAACGTTAACAATTCTGACTTTGAAACTTGGGTTTCCTTGATTTCGAAGACAGTTGGGATGCCAATGATGTACGTAAAACATACCTCAAATGGACATCAAACTCAAACGAACCAAGAGCACCTTTACCACCCATCCCCCATCCCCACCCCCACCCACAGCCTCACCAAAAAGCGTATCTAAAACGGTTTTTGCATTGTCGGGACTCACGATTAGTTCGTTAGGACACATCTGTGAGACACCTGTATAGGTCCACTTCAAACAAACAAAAAATCAAACAAATCCAGAACATTAAAATCAAACTAAAATATAGCCATTTTCCATACCCTCACCCCCATCTCCCAGAAAAAAACGTTATCCCAAACGGTAGCGTCGGGACACACGATCGTTCCGCCACAACTCACCTGAGTGACACCTGTGTAGGTCCTCTTCAAGCCAGCCTTGACCCCCATGGGTGGCTCGTTGGTGAACTTGATGGAGCTCTGGAGCAGATTGATGGGGAACTTCGGGTGTTCCTCTGTGGTCAGCCACATCCTGAACTGCTCGTGCACCGTCTCAGTGGTCAGGATCTAGAACCATGGCCATTAATGTTCCACAGATTAGAAATATTTTATTATATTTTTACGCAAAAATGTGAGAAATTATAATAACCCAATTGAAAGAGATGCAGGGCTGGTCAACCGAAGAAAACAGGATCTTCCCTCAACGCATTACGGCAACAAAGGATGAAAATAGAAAGAAGAAGACAAAAGAAATAGTATGTTCAAATATGGGTACTTTTACGCCCCTGAATGTGGGAGCCAACAAAGACCAAACGGAATACAACATTCCAGCAGAAAGACCTGGATGCTGGATACAAATCCTCCTCTCTCGAGAATCGAACCCTGGTAGACAGCACTAAATGTCGGATATTTAGTTAAGAATATGAACATAAATTGCAGGCAACAGAAGTGCTGAATTCTTGAAGACACATGGGAATTTCATAAAGGCAAAACAAAAATCAAATTAGTATCAGGTAATTCTGTTGCCCTGAAAGAATGTCAGTGTCAACAACAAGAAGGAAGGTACAAATGCAGTTTCTGGAGCACTTGAATCGGCAAAAAGCCTTGAAAATTAGGCTTTCACTGGAAAAACAACAAGCAAAAGTAAAGCACAAGTAGACCAAAAACAATGTTTATAAAGAACTTGAACATATGGGGGACGGGGAAAAGCCAGGATTCAAGAGAGAATCCGAGTTGAGAAGTGACTGGCCAATTATGATCGTCGATATCTGACAGAAACTCCCCTCAACCACCACTCCCTTCACCCCCCCCTCCCCTCCACCCTTTCCGACTAGCTCTCCCCCACCCACACCCCTCTCCTTTAGTGTGTACTCACAGTGTCCAGCATCTCGTCCATAAAGTCCAGCCCCAAGTGACAGTTCTGGAGCAGGACCCAGCGACCCTCGGCCATGGACACCTGCATGAGGCGGCGGGCGTGCACGTCCTGACCTTGACCCATGGAGATGGCGCCACATTCTGGTCACGAGGAAATACAGGCAGGAGGATTAGAACTATTTTGTACGATTGTGGGACGTTATGATGTTGATGTAGATTCTTTATCTCTATCTCTATCTTTCTCTCTTTCTCTCTCTCTCTCTCTCTCTCTCTCTCTCTCTCTCTCTCTCTCTCTCTCTCTCTCTCTCAC